CTCTTCCTCCTCCTCCTCCTCCTCCTCCTCCTCCTCCTCTTCCGCCTCCTCCTCGTCCTCCTCCTCCTCCTTCTCCTCCTCCTTCTCCTCCTCCTCCGGGGGCCTTCGGTCCGTGGCTGGCGACCCCCCTCGGGGCGACCAGCAAAAAGGAGGCTTCCACCAGTGGACCCAGATTAATGAGAGCCTCTGGATGTGCGAGATCTGCAGAGTCAGAGCCCGCTCGGAGGCATCCCGTGTACGAAAAGAAGCCCAGCGATGCGAGGGGCACTGCAAGGCCATGTCGACCCTCGCAGCGAATCGCAGTGGTCATGACATGTATGGTTTCGACCGCCTCGACAACGAGAGCTGTGTCTTGGCATGCTGAGCTTGTGGCGCTTACAGTGAATGTCCCCCAAGGCCTTCGATAGTGATTGCCCCAGGTGCCCCCCCAGCAACAAGAAGATAGCGGCCCCTAATTGCTTGAAGTCCTGCCGCCACCCCAAGGGAGGCATGAAGAGCAGGCCCTGTTTTGCTAACCCCATAACCCTGGACAGTCTAATCAGGGAAGCGCAGAGTGCGCAACAGGGGCTACAGCAATAGACAGACGAACAGTCCTCAGTCAGATGCACTGGTCCTCCTCCTCCTCCTCCTCCTCCTCCTCCTCCTCCTCCTCCTCCTCCTCCTCCTTCTCATCACCATGATCATCATCATCATCATCATCATCATCATCAACAACATCAAGATCAACATCAACATCAACATCAACATCATCATCATCATCATCAGCAGCATCAGCATCATCATCATCATCAGCAGCAGCAGCAGCATCAGCATCAGCATCAGCATCAGCACCATCATCCTCATCCTCATTATCATCCTCATCCTCATCATGCCCCTCCCCCTCCCCCTCCTCCTCCCCCTCCCCCTCCTCCTTAACCGCGGATGCCGCCACGCGGTCGGCACGAGTCCCACTAAGCCTGCGCTGCCGCCAACGTGCCGCCTGGGCAGGGCACTTGATAGATCGATCGGGCCAGGCGCTGGCGGGGGAGATGAAGTTCGCCGCGCAGGCGCTGGGCATGCTCCAGAGGATGCAGATCTCGAGCTCAGCGCCCAGCAGGCAGGAACGCCAACGGCCATGGGGCCAGCGAGCCAAGGCAACCTGCCACGTCCCAGTCGACCAGGGGCAACGATAGGGGGGGTAGGCATAGGGGGGAACGTATCGACCCCGAATCGCCCGTTGAGCGCCGATAGATGCCCGATAGCCGCAACCTGCCCCGGAACGTGCAGATTCATGACCGGGGGGCCATCACCGATCTATCGGCGATGTATCGCCGATTCCAGGTCGACGTCCCCCCCCCTCCCCCACCCTTGTGCCAGTCCCCCCCCGATGGTTGCCCCTCAGTCGAGGCCTCAGCGAGGCTCGTGCCCGAGGTGCCCAGAGGGCCCCGAGGCCCCCCCGAGAGCCCCATCGAGGCTCCCCGGGGCCCCTCCGGCGCCGCACCCCCCCCCCCCACGAGGGCCTCCGAGCGTGGCCCCGCGGGCCGAGAGAGGAGGCGCGGAGCCCGCCAGCACGCCCCCTGCCAGGCATCGAGTCGGGGATCGACTACAGAATGGATCTGCCCCAGACTCCGATTTCCTCGTCGGACCCACGCGCGAAAGGAGCCGCAGATTCGGCGGGGAGTCGGTGTTGGGGTCAAGCCCGAAGCCCCCTGCTCGAAGGCGGGAGCCCCCCCACGTGCCCTGGGAAAAGCGCGCGAGAGGATCCGCAGATTCGGCGGGGAGTCAGTGTTGGGGTCAAGCCCGAAGTCCCCTGCTCGAAGGCGGGAGCCCCCCCACGTGCCCTGGGAGAAACGCGCGAGAGGATCCGCAGCTTCGGCGGGGAGTCCGTGTTGGGGTCAAGCCCGAAGCCCCCTGCTCGAAGGCGGGAGCCCCCCCACGTGCCCCCGGTCACGCTCGCGGCCAGCCGGCCGGACGACCACAACGACGACCTGCCTCTCCTGGACGCCCCGGCGAAGGACGGGGCGGCGGGGCGGCGAGCGGAGGGCCCCAGAGGTCGGAGGTGGACAGGCCTCCTGCCCTGACACCTCCTCCTCCTCCTCCTCCTCCTCCTCCTCCTCCTCCTCCTCCTCCTCCTCCTCCTCCTCCGAACACGGTCGATCCAGAATCGGCCGTGTTCGGTTCGAGAGAGGGCGTCGCGGCCGTCACGTTTGCAGTTTCGGTTCCAGGCCGCCGTCACGAAGGGGAGGTGTGCGAAAGGGAGGCCCGTCCGCCGCCGAAGAGGTCCGACGCCCCGAGAAAGCTGGAGCGGCGGATCGGGGGCCATGGCTCGGCCTCCGGGGGCCCTCGCCAGGCCTCGGGGCCGTCGAGAGACGACTCGGGACGAAAAGCCGGCCCTGGGGCAGTGGTCCAGATTTCTGGGGCACGCGCACCCAAAAAAATTGGAGCGGCCAGATGTCTGGGGTCGCACCGAGGTACAAGATCGAGGTCGGTTTCGGGGAGGGTGCCACAACGTGCTTGGTGCGCGTCGGATGTTCTTGTGCATCCTGGGGGAGGGCACCCTCGAATGCGTTTCAGTTTGGGCCCGCGGAGGGTCCCATGTTCTGAAAGTTCTCACGGATGTTCTTCTGGACGTCCCGATGAAGGACGGGTCGTGGGTGGAACGCAGATATCGGGATGGAAAAAACACAGACACAAAGAATCGCCGATCCCAAGAAAATACATGAGAGAATATGGGAAGCAGAGGGGGAGACGAGATTCCAGCAAGTATGGGAACATGTGGAAGGTAGGTGAGGGTGCCGTTGTTTGGATTCAAAAAACCAGTCTCCTAACATTGGCGCGCCTGTGGGTGGCACGCCAGGTCTGCGAAGCAGGCATGTAGCAACCAGAGTCGTAGTTAGCAGTGCATGGTGAGGGGAAGCATCAGTGTAGCGTGCACTCGAACCTTAAGCAGTTTGGCCCGTGAGCCGCCTCGCGCGGCGTGCGCCGCAGCCACCGTACTTGTAGCCTTGATCCTGAGAAAAGCCGCGTATTTGAGATCCTTGGATTTGTATCTACGTATGTGTCTGCCCCTGGGCCCCATTCTTAAGTCGGGCCTGTCCCCTTAAAGGGGGGATTTTCGACAGAAAATATAAGATACCCCGAAAATAGTCAAAAAAAATTGTCCAAAAATAGTCTGGGGACTATTTGTTGAGTATGGTTTGACCTTTCGGGGGCATTTTTGGGGGGTATGTTTTGTTTTTCGTCGAAAATTACCCCCGTAGGGGGACAGGCCCGACGTAACCCCACTCCGCCTCATCCGCATCCGCGGCCTCTCGGGGCGGGCCCCCCCGGGGGCGCCCGCGACTCCGCGGCCGCGGGGCGCTCTTTCCGTCGGGCGTGCCCCGCGCGGAGCGCAGTATGCGGCATGCGCCGCCGCGCGCCCACGGGAGTCGCGCCCCGAGCTCCAGAGAGGCACTCCCAGCTCCCCTCAGGAAAAAATCCTGGCGGGAGGCTCTTGCCAAGTTTCGGCCTCTCGGGGCGCTTACTGGGCCTCGGGGCCGTCAAGAAACGACCCAGGATCAAAAAGCCTGTCCTGGGGAAATGGGTCGAGACCTCTGGGGGTCGACGTTGCGAAAAAAATCATGACGTCGGGGGTCTGGGAGTATCGGGTTGGCTGGATAGGGTTGCGAAGATACGGCGCACGATTGCATAGTAAGCACACTCGACACAGGCGATACTGTAATACCGACGATCTGATCATCTCTCCCAACCCCATCCTCCCAACCCGATAGTTGTATTTCTGAGATCCCGACCGCGAGGGCGTGGATACGGATACGCTCGCCGCTTGTGAGCGGATCCTGAGGGGAACGGGACTTGTGGTGTTTGGCCGTTTTCGGACTTCGGGGGCCTTGCCCAGGCCTTGGGAACGCCGGAAAATCGTCAGGATGAGAAGCTCCGGACCTCCGTTCGAGCAGGTGTGGTCCGAGGATCGCGCCGAATCGCCGATGCATCGGCCATGCGGCCCGACGCGGAACCCGATCTACGCCGACGTCGCCGATGCACCGGCGATGCATTGGCCCTCCAGCCCCGTCTGCCCGGACCCCATGTGGGAGGCCTCCAGAAGCTGGCCCTGGGGACAGCCCGGAGTGCCCCAGCCCCGCTTCCTTCGAGCCCCGAGGGCAGGGGGGGGCCTGTCCGCTGCGTGGCCCGGCGCCGGCCCGCTCCGCCGCCGCCGCCGCGGCCACTGCTGCCGCGGCTGGTGCCTTGTGTCGTCCGCCGTCGCTGTCGTGTCGTCTTTGCCTCCGGGCTCTAGGCCACCCAGACGGGGTCCGAGTGGATGGGGTCGGAGGACCGCGCCGCATCGCCGATGCATCGACGATGTGGTTCGACGCGGAGCCCGATTTTCTCCACGCCGACGTCGCCGATGCGTCGTCGATGTCGCCGCTGCATCGCCGCTGCATCGCCGATGCATCGCCGATGCATCGCCGATGTATCGCCGATGTATCGCCGATGCTGCGCGAAGGCTTCTACGGGCGCGAGACTCGCCGCGTCTTGAGTCTTGCGCCCTGAGGGTCCAGCGTCAAGGGGGTGGTGCAATAGATTTGCGGGGTTGCGATAGATTTGGGGCGTGCAATACGTTTCAGGGCGCAAATGTATTGCCGGATTTTCGCATACCAAACAGAGATTGCAATACAACTTCTCCGGCGCAATACATCTGCAATACAATTGCCCCAAATCTACTGCACCACCCCCTTTCAGCTGGACCCCCTTCTGGGTGTGCTTGACCACCTTCGCGCCAAGGACGCGGTCTCGCCTTCCGCCGGCTGCGGCACGGGCGGACGGGGTGGCGGCTGCGGCAGAGGCGGCGCCGCTGCCGCGGATCCACGGCCGCCCCACCACCAGAGGAGGAGGAGGAGGAGGAGGAGGAGGAGGAGAAAAAATGCACGACACGTTGGAAGCCCTTGAGCTTGTTGCGGCCAACACCGTGGCGGCGAATGACCCAACCCAAGGGACCTGGCAAGCCCCGCAGAACTCGCCACTGGATGACGCGGGCTGGCACAGAACTGATTCCGTTCTGTGCAGCCAGAACCAGCGACAAAATATGGCCAAAGTGCATGTCGACAAAGATTTTGACAATCTATCCATCCAAGCTGACCACATGCCTGTGATAGCTGATTTTGAGTGGACCCAGAGCTGCCGCGCCCACAGGGCGGACGCTCCTATGCTGGACAATAATAATGACTGACCCGCGCTGCGCTTTCGGTTTTTACCAAGGCCCTAAATCAGGTTCCGCAACGACCACCTCGAAGCCGCGGCCGGACTCCTCAAAGAAGAAGCTGATGAGCACTTTGCTGAGGGCTACTTCGGCCGCGCAAGCCCTTATGACGATCCCCACTCGCTGTTTGCTTAGGTGGAGAAGGAGGGTCAGCGAGCCCTGACAAGGTGGAGGGTAGCCCCACTCCCTCGCAGCACCAAGCACTTGAGACGTTTGCTCGTAGAATCGCCTAGGGCGACCTCCACAAGATCGTCACGTGGCACCAAGGAGCCAATTGGGGTGATGCTGCCAGTAAGGCTTGCAGGCATGCCAGGGTCATCATGAATTTGTTCCTCCATGCTCTCTTTGTTTCTTATAGGCATCTTGAGAGCGACGGGAAAGATCTATATGGAATGCCTTGAGCAAGGACGCACTGTGTTTCTTGAAGCCACGACGCTGGACGTAGTTGCGAGCGCTGACGCTAAGATGCATACCAAGCAGAGGCAGCACCTAGATACCCTGCTGCGAGTTGAAGGTCGCACAGCCAAGAGGACCGCAACTTTGCCACCCATGCGTGATGACCATAGGGGAGCTTGGGACACGCATCAGAAGGTGGCTCAGTACATGCAGGGCCAATTCTGCCAAGTTGAGTCAGTTGTCCAGGTTGAAGCTGAGGCCCTTGCAGGTGCCCCCATCAATCTACGACTCCGAGAGAGTGCTCACAAGAATCACCCCATGGAGAGGAGCGGGAAGAGTTGCGCCCAGAGCTGTTTCCAGCCACCCGAAAACTCACCCTTTTTCCAAGTGGCCCTCATGGGCAGCGAACCCCTGTGATTAAAAGACGCCAGAGTCTGATATCTCTGCAAAAGCAGTGGCGACACTTCGTCCAAGAAGGCTCAGAGAAACATCCCCCTTGGAAACACCAATGCGAAGTGTCACCACGGGTTGGTCAAGCACTTGGCGAGGAATTTGTTCGCGGGGGGCATTATCCGAGCATTTTCTTCGGGTGGAGGGCAAAGGGTGAAATTTGAAATGCCGTTTCGATTGATTTTCGAGGCTTGAATCTGCATAAGGCGAATCACGAAACGGATTGATTTTCGAGGTGCGAAAGCCCATATGGATTTCGCCCTGAGCCCTCCACCCTAAGAAAATGCTCAGGATGCTCACTCAGGTTGGAGGGACCCCAGGAAGTGGCACCGACACGGCGATTCATATCGTGAGGTGAGATCTCACACTGCGGCCATGCAGGCTCTGAACGCCTCTGCTGCTCTTGTGCGCATCGATCTCACCGGTGCCCTGTACAGCACCATGCGCTAGTTCGCCTCCAAGCTGCCAACCAGTGCTGAAGCGATTGGGGAAACCTTTGAGCGCATGGAGCTTCCTGATTTGCTGTTCCACGGGGGCAAAGCACAGCTGGCCGCCATCCCCTGTCTTCGAGAGGGCCCCCCCCACTGAGCATGTGACGGCGCTGGTCACGGAAGCGCAAGTTGGGGGGGAGGGCATCTGGAAGTTAGAAGACACGTGGCTGTTGGTCGATCCTGGGACGGCGACCCGCCCTTGATCCGCCATGGCCGCGGACGCCTTCAACTTGTTTTTTCAGCTCGACCCAACAGATGGTCGGGGATTTGATGTCGTTTGCAGTCTGGGTGTTGAGCTCCGTGCCAACACGCTGCGTGCTGCGTGTTGCGCATCGGGGCAGCTGAGACCCGCACGTCCCTAACCGGCGTTCCGTCCCCGTCGCCCTCGCCCTCGCCCTCGCCGCCGCCGCCCTGCAGAGGTCGCACTGGCCGCCGCTGGGGCGGGGCGACCCCCGCAGCGGACCGGGCCCGCCGGCGCCGTGGCGGGACTCCTTCGACGTCCCGGCGGCCCTGGACCTCGCGCTGCCGCCGGCGCCAGAGGCCAGCGGCCCGCAGCTTTCCATCTCGGGGAGGGGCACGCCGCTTGGCTCCAACAAAATCCTCCTCCCTCCTCCTCCTCCTCCTCCTCCTCCTCCTCCTCCTCCTCCTCCTCCTCCTCCTCCCCCTCCTCCTCCTCCTCCTCCTCCTCCTCCTCCTCCTCCTCCTCGAAGAGTATCACGAAGGAGTATCCGCAAGTGCGAGCAATGACCATGAGACGCCCGAGCCCCAGAATGGTATCACTCTGGGCCCTCAGACCACCGACGATGACCTCCAGGAGACCTTGAGATGACCCCGAGATGACCCCGCATCGCCTGAAGATGGCTTCAAGACGGCCCCAACGCAGCAGAAGTCCTTGAGCTTATGGACACCATCGTACGCCGAGCCGATCCCAGCACGGCGGGATCCGTGAATGACCCAGGATTATCGTTTTTGTTACGGGTGGGATAGGCCAAATTAAGTTTATAGTATGATAGGGATTGAATTAGGCGGGATCCCGCCCAGTCCAAGGCAGAAGACTACATTGCTAGGCTTCTATGGGGGCGGGGGGGTCGGAAAGGATGTCATCTACTTCCGCTGTATTCTGCAAGCCTTCCACCGTCTTCCGCCTCGTTCTGTTTCCGTTGACTTCCGCGGACGTCAATTGCTTCCACTGTTTTCTACATGCCTTCCGCCGTTTTCCGCCTCGTTCTGCTTCTGTCGATTTCCACGGACGTCAACTGCTTTCGGCATCTCCTGCATGCTTCCCGCCGTCTTCCGCCTCGTTCTACTTCCGTCGACTTCTGCTGGTGATCGCTGTGACCAAATTCAAGGAACCTCCATTGGGCCGATGTGAGCTGGAGTAGTGGGTCTGGTGCAGATGGGTCGGAGGTGGGAGGCGAGGGTCGAGGATTCAGGATCGGGCTTCCGAGCGTTTTTGCTCCCTGTCGGGCCGCCTGGGGCGCCCGCGTATCCACCAGGTGCGTCCACGTGCCTTAGCGCAGCAAGATGTGGCGAGGGCATGGTTGATGTTCCGAGCGCTGTTTTTTTTGTATCGCTTCGTCTCATACTTTTCGGTTCTCGGCCAGCCCAAACGGGACAGGAAAAAACAGCAAACATAACAAAAGTAATTGCAGCCCAAAGCAGAAACAACAAACAACGGTTTTACGAAACGGAGCCGAAATGGCGCGATGAAAATCTGCAAATGGGAAACGGGCCCCTGAAGTGTGGGGGAAAAAACATAAAGCCAACAAATGATTTGAAAATTGGAGGGGGGAAACAACAACAAAAAAGCGTTTTAAACATCATCTAAGGGCGATGGCCTGTGATGAGCCTCCTGCCCAGAAGGCTATACCATTCGACCCCCCCCCATCCCCACCGTGCGCGCCGCCAAACCTCGAGGTCATGTTTCTGAAGCCCTTCTCCGTTGATGGGCCTCCGGGGCGCTCTCACATCGCCACGGTTGGATTCCCCTTGAAGCTTGTGGGCCAGAGCGCCATCCGGGGCAGGACTCTGGGGGGGGGGGGGCCGCGATCTCGAAGGGACCCAGGCATCCGGCCGCTCCAATTTTTTGGGGTGCGCGTGCCCCAGAGGTCTGGACCAATCCCCTCTGGGGCCGAAGTTTGGTCCCGAGTCGCCTCTTGACGCTCACGAGGCCTTGCGAGGGCCCCCAGAGGCCGAAACTGGCCCCAAACCAGCCGCTCCGAGATCTTCGGGGCGTCGGACCTCTGGGGGCGAACCCTGGCCTCCAGCGTCTGGGCAGGAGTCCATAGGGGGGGGCCGGTTCTCCCGCGGGTGCGGCGTCGGGGAGCCGTGGCCCGCCCGCCTCGTCCGGGCCGCCCCAGCGGCCGGGGGGGCGCGCCCCATCGGCTGCGCGCGTCCCCCCTCCGTCCCCCTGGAGGATCCAGGATCGATCGATCGAGGATCAGGGATCGAGGAGCGGGGCGAGGATCGAGGAGAGGCCCTTCCCTCCTCCTCCGTGGAGGCAGGCCGATCCGTGCTCCGTGCTCCTCCTCCCCTCCCCGCCCTCCCCCTCCTCCCCCTCCTCCTCCTCCTCCTCCTCCTCCTCCTCCTCCTCCTCCTCCTCCTCCTCCTGCTCCTGCTCCTCTCCTCCTCCTCCTCCTCCTCCTCCTCCTCCTCCTCCTCCTCCTCCTCCTCATCATCATCATCATCATCATCATCCTCATCCTCATCCTCATCCTCATCCTCATCCTCTTCCTCCTCCTCCTTCGTAGGTGCACTTTTTTGTGGAGCTCGGCGCCCTGGCGCGAAAGGCCGAACGACCCAGAACGCGGGACACTTTGGCGACAGGTTCCGCCGCCGCAAAACTGCCTGGTTCGAGGCAGGCCGCGCATGAGGGCACGACCTAAGCGGTGTTTAGGCGATTTCGTGGACCGTCTTCGTTTTGACGTTGTTGCGCAGCGAAGGCGGAACGAAGACAAAACGAGGTGAAACGAAAGCAAAGCGAAAACGAAGAACACTGTTTTGGTCGAGCCCTGCCGCTTAAACACTCATTACGTCGCAGCGCGGCAGAGGCAGTCCGCACGTGCGCTCGAGCGGCCCGCAACGGGAGGAGGCAAGCGGAGGAGGAGGAGGAGGAGGAGGAGGAGGAGGAGGAGGCGGATAAGGAAGAGGAGGAGGAGGAGGAGGAAGAGGAAAAAGGGGGAAGAGGAGGAGGAGGAGGAGGAGAAGGAGGCGGAGGGGGAGGAGGAGGAGGAGGAGCAGGAGGAGGAGGTGGAGGAGGAGGAGGCGGAGGAGGAGGAGGAGTTGGAGGGAGGAGCAGGAGGAGCAGGAGGAGCAGGAGCAGCTGCAACAGGAGGAGGACGAGGCCCCACAGCCACCCCACCGAGGCCGACGGCGCCGGGGGCGACCCCTGGGTGTCCCTGCACCTCTCCGCGCACGACTGGGAGCTCGGCGGTTCCGCGGCGGAGCCGCGGGCAGGCCTGCGGTCCAGAGGCGGCCGGGGGGCACTGCGGCGCCGCCGCCCTCTTCGCCGCCGCCGCGGCCGCCGCCGCCGCCGCCGCCGCCGCCGCCGCCGCCGCCGCCGCCGCCGTCGTCGTCGTCGTCGTCGTCGTCGTCGTCGTCGTCGTCGTCGTCGTCGTCGTCGTCGTCGTCGTCGTCGTCGTCGTCGTCGTCGTCTGGGGACCCCAGGAGGGCCCAGGGCTTCACTTCGAGCGGCGACTGGTGGGGGACTGGGCGAGAGAGGCGCGGGCCCTCCCAGGAGGCGCCCCGCTCCTGGGAGGCGGGAGGCCTCCGGGCATGGCGTGGCCGCTCTGAGAGGCCCCTCTTTGCCCCCCCCCTCCTCCTCCTCCTCCTCCTCCTCCTCCTCCTCCTTCCTCCTCCTCCTCCTCCTCCTCCTCCTCTCTCCTCCTCCTCCTCCTCCCTCCTCCTCCTCCCTCTCGTCCTCCTCCTCCTCCTCCTCCCTCCTCCTTCCTCCCTCCTCCCTCCTCCCCCTCCCTCCTCCCTCCCTCCCTGGAGCCAGTTGGGGGTCTGGGGGGGGGGGGGGGCCTCCCGAGCGGAGGGCTCCCCTGCCTGGTGCGGGCCGCTGGGCAGGGGCACGCGCGCGCGACGGGGGGGGGGCATGATGGCCCCACGAGGCTGGAGTGTCAACAGCAGCACGAGAGAGGCAGTCAGAAATCGTGGTGAGAGGTGTGCCCCGAATTGATCGTGGTTTGAGCTCGACCTCGAAACTTCGACGGTGTTCTTCTAACGGGAGGGTAAGATGATGAGGGAGGATAGAAGAAGGAGGAGGAGGAGAAAGAGGAAGAGGAAGGAGGGGGGGAGGCAGCGGGGAGCGCGTTCCATTTTTCACCGCATAGGCGGTGGCGCTCGATGACGCCATCCAGCTTGTGTCCAACATATCATCCAACAATATTTCGTCCAAGCGTACCCGGTCATACGTTGTTACGACGTGGACATACAAAGCCGACTAGAATACGTTGGCCTGCCACGGTAAGGAATCAGAGGCGTCGGAAAGACAAGGGGGAGCGCGTGGAAAGTGGCAGCCTTGCGAGGCAGTGCGTCTAGTGGCGTGAGCTAAGCCCACGGGACTACCATAGTGTAGCACAGCGTGGAATTCCCAGGCCTCAAAGTTTTCGAACTGTTTCGGAATATGTTTCTGGGATTTGGAGGCCCTCAGGCCCCAGGGTGCTTTCAAGCAGCTGCGCCTTGTCGAGACCCTTCCGGTGACACCGAAACGGCCCGAACGACCCCCATTGGCTCGCGCTACGGCGCAAGGGCCCGTTCCCCGAATCCCAGACCTACGACGTGTTGCCTCTTGGGCGCCGTGAAGAAATCACGATGATGGGAAGTTCTGTTCCGTTTTTGGCCCAGGGACGCTCATGGATCGATCAGTTCCCAAAAGCTTCGCATAAATGTATAGCTTAGGAAATACGGGCGTGGTTGTTCAACGGGTTTCGTAGTATGGCCTCTGGGGGACCGTCTCGGGCCCCCGTATTGATAAACAAGTTACTCACTGCGCAAAGTCCATATAGTCGGGGCATCGGGATGATGAATGTTTCTGGTCGGAAAGGGTCGCGTTATCTCCAACATAAAATATCTGACGACTTCGGGGAAATAAAAAAGGTTGTTTTTGTGCAGCGAAGCGTCCTTATTATGTCAGGGCTACGGGGCTAGCATTTCTGTGACTATTCCTTTTTATTCACATATGTATCGCCACTGCTGCAGCTACTGCTACGACGATCGATGTTACCAGTAGTACGTGTACAAGTACTCGCCGTCGAAGTAGTAGTAGTAGTAGTAGTAGTAGCAGTAGTAGTAGTAGTAGTAGTCGTCGTCGTCGTCGTCGTCGTCGTCGTCGTCGTCGTCGTCGTCATCGTCGTCGTAGTAGTAGTAGTAGTAGTAGTGGTAGTAGTAGTAATAGTAGTAGTACCAGTAGGAGTAGTAGGAGTAGTAGTAGTAGTAGTACTATCAGTAGTATACTAGTGTTGGTAGTAGTAGTAGTAGTAGTAGTAGTAGTAGTAGTAGTAGTAGTAGTAGTAGTAGCAGTAGTAGTAGTAGTAGTGGTAGTAATAGTAGAACAGTAGTAGTAGTAGTCGTCGTCGTCGTCGTCGTCATCGTCGTCCTCGTACGTCGACGATTACGTGCCATATTAGCACGATTATGAGCACTAACATTAGTATGACTAGCACTTGTAGTATGCGTCGTCGTTGTCGTACGACGACGATTACGTACCATATTAGCACGATTATGAGCACTAGCATTAGTATGACTAGCACTTGTAGTGTGCTTTGTAGTAGTACTACTACGATTACTGCTACTACTACTACTACTACGACGACGACTACGACTGCCACTACTACTACTACTACTACTACTACTACTACGACTACTACTACTACTACTACTACTACTACTACTACTACTACTACGACTACCACTACTATTACGACTATTACGAGTACGACTGCTGCGACTATTACCATTACTATTACTACTACCACTACTACTACTACTACTACTACTACTACTACTACTACTACTACTACTACTACTACTACTACTACTACTACTACTACTACTACTACTACTACTACTACTACTACTATACTACTACTACTACTACTAACTACTACTACTACTACTACTACTACTACTACTACTACTACTACTACTACTACTACTACTACTACTACTACTACTACTACTACTACTACTACTACTATCACTACTACTACCACTACTACTACTACTACTACTACTACTACTACTACTTCGACGGCGACGACTTGTACATTTACTACTGGTAATATCAATGGACGTAGCAGTAGCTGCAGCAGTGCCTACGGATAACAATACTACTACGACGACTACTACTAGTACTATTGCTACTAATAATAATATTCATATCACTTCTACTACGACTTCCACTTGTATCACTACTACAACGACGACTACGACTACTACTACTACTACTACTACTACTACTACTACCACTACCAATAATACCACCACTACAAGTACTGCTATTACTACTACTACTACTACTACCACCACTATGATTTCTAGTACGAGGACGACTATGGCTACTACTACTACGACTACTGTTGATATGATGTTTACGACTACTTCTACTATTATTATTACTACTACTACTACTATTACCACTACTACTACTACTACTACTACTACTACTACTGCTACTACGACTACTGTTACTACTATCATTACTCCTGCTACTGCTACTAATACTACTACTACTACCACTACTACCACCACTACTACTACTACTACTACTACTACTACAACTACTACTACTACTACTACTACTACTACTACTACTGCTGCTCCTACTACTAATCCTACTACTACTACTACTACTACTACTACTACTACTACTACTACTACTTCTACGACTTCTACTACTACTCTTGTTATCAGTACCACTACTACAAGTATTGCGACTACTACTACTACTACTACTACTACTACTACTACCACTACTACTACTACTACTACTACTACTACTACTACTACTACTAGGGCTGAGCTTACTCTGTTTGTGCATTTTAGCTTGTGTGGGAAAGGAAGGGAAAGTGGTGAGCATTATGAGCGGAGAGGCCGCCGAGATCCATACGACTATCATAGGAAAACCATACGACTACCATAGGAAACCATAGAGCATTACCAGAAAACCATACGACGACCATAGGAAACCACACGATTATCATACGAAAACCATGCGATTACCATGGGGAGCCATACGATTACCACAAGAAAACCATGCGACTACCATCGGGAAGCCATACGACTACCATAAAAAATCGTACGACTACCATCTCAAAACCACACGACTACCATAGAAAAACTACATTTTCACCATAGGAAACCTTACGAGTTCCATGGGAAACTATACTACGATCGAAGAACAACCATACGGTTATCCGATGGAAACCCTACGGTTACCATCGGACAACCATACGATTAGCATCAAAAAACCATACGAATACCGTCGGTAATCCATATCATTAATGATACCGGAGAAAAACCCAATCAGGGCTATAGGGCCAGGGGGCTATTGAGCTATAGGGCTATAGAGCTACAGGGCTATAGAGTTGTAGGGCTATTGGGCTATTGGGCTATAGGGCACCCCCGGGCACGCCCGGGCACATGGGCACCAGGGCACCCCCGGGCACCCCCGGGCACCCAGGCATCCGGGCGTGCGGCGAAAATCCGCGGCAAACCTAATCTAACCATATGAATCCGCTAGGACCCCTACAGAGGCAAGCTCTGACTGGGGAATTTACAAAGACCTTACGATTGCCAAAACGAAAACCATACGATTACAATCGGACAGCCATGCGATCACCACGGGGAAGTCATCCAGTCACCATACGAATACCATATGAAAACCATACGACTATCATGGGAAAGCCATATTATTGTTTCAAAAACATACGAATACCATGGAAAACCATACGATTATCATCGGGCAACCATACGATTAACAAAGGAAAACCATGCGATCATCATAGCAAGACCATACGGTTATCATCGGAAACCATACGACTTGCATCGGAAAACCATGCGACGATCCAAGAACAATGCGACTATCTTAATACAACCATATAACTACCATACAAAAGCAATACGATTACCATTCGAAAGCCATGCGAATGCCATAGGACAACCGTACGGTTATCAGAGGAAAGCCATACGATTACCGATGGAAAACCAGACGATCATCATAAGAAAACCATTCGACTACCATCTGGAAACCGTACGGTTACCACTAGGAGCCATACGGTTATCATAGGAAAACCACCTGACTACCATAGGAAAGCCATGCGGTTACCATACGGAAACCACACAATCACCATAAGACAGCCATGCGATTATCATAGGAAACCATACGTACCAAAGGAAACAATACGATTATCATAAGGAAGCTATAAGTTTACCGTAGGGACCATACGATGACCATCGGGGGGAGCAAA